TGGGCCCAAAACAGAGCCTTGGGGTACTCCAGTGCATACTTCCCTCCATGTAGATGCAGTTCCATTGTGGACTACATGTTGAGCCAGTTCCAAATCCATCTGGTGGTGATGCTGTCCAACCCACATTTTTCTACTTTATCTGGTAGTAGGTTATGGTCTACTTTATCAAATGCCTTACTGAAGTCCAAGTAAATTATATCGACGCATTCCTCTGGTCCACTAATTTTGTCACTTTGATGAAGAATGCAATAAGATTAGTCTGGCATGATCTGTTTTTGACAAACCCATGTTGGCTTTTGGCTATTACTTTGTTTACTTCTAGGTGTTCGCTAACTCGTTGCTTGATTATATGTTGCATGAAGAAGAAGAAAACATTTGACAAAGTGCTTGTAAAAACTGGAGTGCCATTTCTAGAACCTACCAGAAATCCTTTTAAAAACCATTTTCTGCTTAGATCCAAAGAATCTTGAAATTAACCATTTATGGCTATAAAAATATAGCTCTTGTTGCAAATACGTTTGTGTATGTATTTGTATATGTTTATAAATATTTGAGTTGATTACAGGAGAAAGGTAAAAAAAAAAGCTCTAGCAGAATCCTAAGAAAATGTGATCTAGCCATATTTAGTGAGATATGACCTGCTTAACTCCCTCATATTAAAATCAACGGGATTCTTAGTATAGTATTCATTCACTGCTATAATTAGACTATTTCTTTTTCTTATTTATCACTAGTCATAACTGCAATCTGAATTTCTACTATAGTTTAAGTGGCAAATGCTGCCAGGCAACATTTCATTATTTAAATTGTTTACATTTTCAGATATAGAATACAGCTATAATATTTTTTTAAATATTTTGTGGAGAATGGAGTTGCATTTTTCTGTAGTTCTTTTCTTAAAAATGAATTGCTAATTATCAATCTAAATTGAAAAATACATAAATTGAAAAATATATGGAGATGATATTTTATTTTTAGGGTGATCCTGTGAAGAAAACGGATATCTTTATTGCTGTAAAAACATGCCGGAAATTCCATGGAGACAGAAGTAAGTTCTGGAATTAAGAGTATATTTACATTTTTTTTCTGAAGCTGTTTTTATTAATTTATATAACATCTTGAAAAGTATAGATAGCCTTTTCTTTTAGCAAATTTCCTTTTTGAACTTTTCACATATAGTAGAAAATCACTTGTGAGAAAATTAGTGAGAAAAGAGGTAAGGAAGGAAATTGAAATTTGCATTGAAGGTACAAATCCAGAGTTTTCAAATTAAAACATATCTGGTGCTTTTAGCTTCTCAAGAAAAGATGGGATATAAATCTAAAGCAACGGAATATTTATTAAATATGAGATATTTATGTATGTATTTATGTATGTATGTATTTATTTATTTATTGAACTTATTTTCCACCCATCACTATCAGATAACTTTGGGCAGCTTACAATCTATTGGAGAGTTTTCTCCTTTTTTTTAGGTGCTTTAGATACATAAGACTGAGAATCTAGTGTAGTCCTAATAATGAAAACCATGAATTGACCCACATTTCACTCAAATAATTTTTGTAATCATTTGATTCTTATTGACATTCTGATGCAAGCCAATAGCAGCCTATCTCTAATGATGGTTGATAGGAGAAAATATTAACAAGTAACATTGTGTTTTGGTTGAAATATATTTTAATGTATATATGAAAATGAATAAAACCTTTGCATATAATCCCAAAGGTGCTTTTCAAAAGGCAACCAGACTTTCTTAGTTTTTTTCCTTGGAAATGTTTCATTTCTCATCCAAAAAACTTCTTTACTTCAGATCTGAAGAAGCTTCTTGGATGAGAAGTGAAATGTTTTCAAGGAAAAAAACAAATGAAGTCCAGTTGCCTTTTGAAAGGCACCTTTGCGATAACCATGACATAGACACCTTTGCATACGGTATTATGTTTTATAGACATATAAATGTTATCCAAATGTTAAATATTTAATTTTAACCAGAGTTTTGTTGGAAGTGAAGATTTGGGCCCATGTGAAGCATCTGTGGCTGTTTCTTTCTCTTCTAATCACAGCTGTTTGAAGCGTGAAGAGTTTTCTGTTCTCTATTTTTTGCATCCCTTCTATGTCAAACAGTGACTCGTTTGGTAGGCTGTATTGTAAATTAATCTGATGTCCTTGTTTGAAGGAAATTGCCTTCAGCATTTTTCTCTCCCTTCAAATCACAAGAAAGATGTATTGATCCTATTGTCTCTGTAAACTGTTCTATCCGTGTGATATACACAGATGATAAATGAGCTTCAGACATTACTTTTATTTTTTGATAATCTTTGTAGGGTGATGAGGGAATTTATTTTCTTTGTACTTAACTATTTTACTCATCACTTGTTTTAATTATAGAAAAGTCGATTTTTCTCAGACTCTACTTTCTGAGAATATTTCTTAAGGCTCTCTTTAATTTTCTGTGGTCCCCTCATACTACAAACCCCCAAAGCTATGCTAGATCAAGAGCATTAAGGAGGACACAGAATGGTGACCAGAATATTACTAACTGCTGCAGCCACTTAAGAAGAGCAAACAAGTTATGCTGCTGCAAATATCTAATGCTAATTTCTGCAATTTGCAATTTCAAAAAAGGTTCTACTGAAATGAATTCACATACCATTTCATATATTACTGCTGCTTTTTAAACTCCTTATTTCTTTCTGAAAAAATCCAACCACAGTTTTATGTGCTTTGCATACCTCACAACCAGGGGTGAAATTCAGCAGGTTCTGACTGAAATTTGGAAATAGTGGAAATTTTGAGTAGTTCGGAGAATCGGCAAATACTACCTCTGGCTGGCCCCAGAGTCGAGGGGGAGTGGGGATTTTGCAGTTTCTTTCCACTGCCATGCCCACCAAGCCGTGCCACAGAACCGGTAGTAAAAAAAATTGAATTTCACCACTGCTCACAACCTTTCCCTTTTCCTTCATGTATTCTCACCCCTGCTTTACTTCCATCACATGCAGCAACTAATCCTCAGTTGCATAATCATGCAAAGTATTCCATAATTTGGTGCTATTCATTGTATCATATGCTTTCTCTAGATCGGTGATGGCGAACCTATGGCAGGCGTGCCAGAGATGGCACACAGAGCTCTCTCTGCTGGTACGCGTGCCATCGCCCCAGGTCAGATCTCCATGGCGTTTCTTTCATGAGCTGCTGTTTCCTTGCAAATGATGAAGAAGCTCACAAAAGAAAAAGATCTTACCTCTTGCCAGCTGGCGGTATTGGGATGCCCTGTCTCCCACCGGCCAACTAGTCTTCGGGTCTCTGCTGTGCATGCACACATTCGCACATGTCTGTGCATGCATACATGTCAGTGAATGTGTGTGCGCGTTTGCACACCTTTCAGTTAGGGCATGTGCATGCATGCATTTGGGCACTTGTGACGAAAAAGTTTGCCATCATTGTTGTAGATCAACAGACAATGAACTTTTTAAAATAATTTTTGAAAAGCAAAAATATGGCATGCACATTCCCTGGCCTCACATAAGAGCTTGTTGAATTTCCCAGTTCATGAGCAATCCCATCCATGTTTTGATATTTCTACAGCCACCAGCATTTTCATGGTATTTTTTGCCTTCCTTTTCATCCTCTTTTTCCCTTTGATGCGAACATTTAAAGCGTTCATTTCACACTGTTCTGTGCAAATAAGGATTTCTGATCACAGGATTACTTTGCAAGTCAATATACTGTGGCTGCTGTATCCCACCAACTAGGAGAGCGGTTTCAAACTCATTTTCATTTCGGTGCTGCATAAGAACTACTTCATTAGCCGAAGTACTGCAAACACAAAAGCTATCTAGGACTAGAATACCATCTAAAAGGGTATTCTAAATTGAACTTGGCATGAAGACATGGCTATGTATTCTAAATGAGTATTATTATTTTTTTCCAAATAGTCATTTTGATTCTCCTGTCTGTGTCTTCTTTTATTTTTTTTAAAAAATCAGTACCTATTGTGAAGCAAACCTGGGAAAGAGAAGCCACTTTCATGGAATACTACAGTGATTATGCAGAAAGTTCAATACCTACTGTTGATATAGGAGTACCAAATACCGAAAGAGGTAGGTTATAATATATTTCTTTCACAAGTTGTAACAAGTATTCCACGTGAATGTCTGCAACAATGAAATGCTTATGTTAAGTTTACTTTATTGTCATTGTATCTTGTACAATGAAATTAAATGCCATCTTCAGTGTACATCATACATAAGAAAACTACACATCCTTCACGTTCTGCACAATTGAATTGAAAATCTCTTGATACTGCATTGATATTAATTCAATTATTTATATTATCAATATAATTATTAATATAATATTATTACTAATATGACTCCAAATTGCAGCCTGAAAAGTGATACTTAAGGTACAAATGGTGGCCTTAGTTCCTCTACCTTCTGTCATGTGGAATTGGGCTGAGCAGGAATGGTCAAATATTGGAACAGAACCCCCCCTCCCCCCCCCTCCGGAATAAATGTTTTTCTACATTACAGCAAGAAAAGGCAATCATATTGAAGCTTCCACATTACTTTTCATTTATTTTTCAGGGCCAGCATAAGCATGGCCATGAGGTTAAAATGTTCCGCCCATTTTTGAGAGTTTGGACGCTGGGCGCAGTTGTTTAAAAACAAAAGAGCTTTACTCTAATTGCACCAAACAAACAAAAAAAAACTGTCCCAAGTCAGCATTTTTATGGATGAATTATAGCAGAATGATCTGTGCTGCAGAGTAGATGGCCAAGGATTACCCTCTTTTTAAATTGCTGTATTAAGGGCAGCCAACCAAGCAGATTCTGTCTCCAGATTCTAGTCTTGTTTAGATGTTCTAATTAATTGTTACTAAGCTGATTGACCCATACTGTAACAGGACATACCTTATTTGGATATACTGTATGTCCAAAGTTTTACTTAATATCTACTTCCCAGTTTCTTTTTTTTTCTTTTGTTACTTTCTAGGTCATTGTGGAAAGACTTTTGCCATTTTGGAAAGATTTTTAAATCATAGTCCTGCTAAAATGCCTTGGTTAGTCATTGTGGATGACGATACCTTGATAAGGTAAGAATTTCAGAATCAAATTAAATTGAATTATACTAGTGTCTGTTATTATTATTGTTGTTATTACTTGCAGACTCCAGATGAAATGTGAAACATGATGTTTCATGATGCAATGAAATTTTGGGAAGATCAGACAACAATTCCAAACAGAACAAATTAAAAGCATCTCCCAAATGTTAAATTTGTTACTGGATATTTGAGGACATTGTGGCATAAAATTGAATTAGTGTCTAGAAAAATGACAATTTTGAAATATTGCTCTAGCGTTGGGATTTATGAGAATATATGAGGGGAAATGTACAAATAATAAGATGGCATTAGTTGCCCAAACCAAAAAGCTCACTCAAGTAGTGCAGAATGGAGGATTATGATGTCCAAGCCAACAATATTTCTCTTCTGTCTTGGTCATGCACTAAGCACTCAGCATGTCTGAGCCCATCACTGGAATTGGGGATCTGGCATCTGCTGTTCTTCACTGAATGACTATTTTCTTCTGTATGAAGTTTAATCTCTTTGCCACATCATGCTCTGTTTCCTTGAGGGGGGGTGACATAGTTGATTATCGACTATGGCTCACACAGGCTGACAAGTATGAATGTTTACTTGTCAACTAAGGGCTTCAGGAGATTTTTAAGAGCTTGGACAATGATTTATCTGAAATGGTATAGAGCAGTGATGACTACCTATTCCCCATCAAGTGCCAAAAGGGAGGAGAGCAGAGGGGGCATGCGCAGGCATGCCCACACCCATAATGCTATGTGCGTGACCCCCGCATGGGCATGCCCGCGTGACCTCTCCCCTCCCCTATGCTTTTGGCTTGTGATAGACCTGTTTTTTGCCCTCCCCAGGCTCCAGAGGTTTTTTAGGAGCCTGGGGAGGGTGAAAACAACCTCCCCTGCCCCCTTGAAGGCTCTCTGGAAGTTTCATCCAGCTTCCTTGAAGCCTGTGGAGGGTGAAAAATGGCCCTATGGGCAAACTGGAAGTTAGCAGTTAGTTAGCAGTTAGACTTATATACCGCTTCATAGCTCTCTAAGCGGTTTACAGAGTCAGCATATTGCCCCCAACAACAATCCGGGTCCTCATTTTACCCACCTCGGAAGGATGGAAGGCTGAGTCAACCTTGAGCCGGTGAGATTTGAACCGCTGAACTGCTGATCTAGCAGTAGCTTGCAGTGCTGCATTTAACCACTGCTGCATTTAACCACTGCTGCATTTAACCACTGCTGCATTTAACCACTGCGCCACCTCGGCTCTTCACCAGAAGTGCCCATCTGGCCGTTTTTCATCCTCCGGAACCTTCAGGAGGCTTCCCTGAAGCCTCCCGAGCACGAAAAACAGCCCAACAGGCAAACCAGAAGTCCATTCCTGAACTTCCAGTTTGTGCTTTGGGTTGTTTTTCGCCCTCCAGAGTGCCATAGGTTCGCCATCACAGGTATAGAGTTTCCTACCTAAATAGGGGGTTGGACTACAAGTAGACCTCCCTTCCGTCTCTGTTATTCTGTTATCATGAAGGCTTCGACATTCTCAAAGTCCATTTTCCAGAACTCGTTTTGGAAGTGTGAGGGTGAGGGGGAATGAATTGGACCTGGTACGCATATCACTTTGCTTAAGAAATTATTGCAAAAACACTATTCTCCTTTAGCCCAACCGGAAAATACATTTTAATATCATATTTCATTTTTCACTAGAAGGGAATTTGATTTTTGAGAGAACTAAATCTTTATGAAGGGACGATGCATGACAAATTTTTACTAAATATAATGAAGGAGCTTTCAAACCATGTTCCTTTAAAATCTGACCGTTACTATTTGTGCACAGAATGCAATGAAGTCTTTTATGCTAGGAGACCATATGATGGGGAGAAAGCTTGCCAGATTTCAAACAGATGGGCTAAGGGAGATTATGCAGAGGAAGAAGTGTTCATAAGGAATGATGATGTTTATTTCTGGATACAGTAGAGGTGATTTATAGTTTTGACAGTATAGCTGGCTGGTCTTTATCTTAAAATAAGTAAGTTTGTAGGAGAGGTCAAGTAGCTCCCAAAGTATTTTCACACAACTATGTAGAAAAAAAGACTGGATGACACTGAAAAGCTACAAATGATAGAGCTCTTTTTCAATCCCAAAGGTTTTTCCAGCTCCCACAGTTCTGTGATTGCGGCAACCAAAGATGGCCATTGTGATTTAATCACCCATTTACAGTATCTTCCCTCCATCACCTACACTGTCATTATGTCTTAGCTAAGTAATAGAAACATCTTGTCCTTTTGGCATACCTGCTCATCAGCTTTTCTAAGGTATCAGCAGTCTGGTGAAACTAATCAAGACTATTCATGTAAGCCCAGAACAGATGTCTTATTCAGATCTATTTACTATTGTCTGGTGAACAAAAGGAACTCCTGTTCCAAATTACCCTACTCCACCTTGTCCTCTGAACTTTGACCAAATCTAATGTACAATCCTAGTAACTAAGTGACTACTTTTGAAAGTTGGGTTCAAAGTTTTGCAAGCAGATTTTTTTTTACAAAAGTAGATTTTTAAAACAATTTTATCCCCCAAACCTTCCCAAATATTTGGAGATTTTCCTGAATAATCTTCACTTTGGTATTGGAGCCTGTTGGGCAAAGTTAATCACTTCTATATTTTTTATTCAAATTGTTTCTTCCGTGTATTTATGCTGCTTATTTTGATTCTGGCAAACTGCCTTGAAAAACATTAGCAAGTGCCAGGTTGTAGTTTCCTCAGATGTCCTGATTGTGAGGTTCTTAGGACTCCCTGAGCTTGGTTGTTTCCTTGCAGATATTTCATTATCAAATTAGGTAATACCACCAGTCCAGAGGTGGTATTCAACAAGTTCTGACCAGTTCTGGAGAACTGGTAAGTTCTGGAGAACCGGTAATGAAAATTTTGAGTAGTTTGAAGAATCGATAAATACCACCTCTGACTTGCCCCGCCCCCATCTATTCTCTGCCGCCCGAGTCCCAGCTGATTGGGAGGGAATGGGGATTTTGCAGTACCCTTTCCTTGCCATGCCCACCACGCCATGCCCATCAAGCCATGCCCACAGAACCGGTAGTAAAAAAATTGAATCCCACTACTGCATCAATTCAGAACTCCAAATATTCACTTCCCTTGGTAATGTCCTGATTATAGTATTAAAAATTAAAATCATGCAACGTGAGGAATTTAAAACATGACACGTATGATTTAAAATTACATTTTCCAATTAATACAACAGGAAAATAAATAATCCCTCTTTCCTGTGTTCTTACATGCTATAGTAACCAATTAGTGTAACGAATGGAAGGAAATCTGACATGTTTAAAACCCCATTACATTACATTTGTTAAATTGAAGATTCAGTGTTGTATCCAATAATTGTATCTTATACAAAAAATAAGCATGACTTAAAAATGAGAAATTTACCAGAAAGTATGCCTAATTTTCCGTGAAATTCTACAGTGCCTATACAGTGGGGCAAAAAAGTATTTAGTCAGGCACCAATTGTGCAAGTTCTCCCACTTAAAAAGATGAGAGAGGCCTGTAATTGACATCATAGGTAAACCTCAAATATGAGAGACAAAATGAGAAACCAGATCCAATCACATTGTCTGATTTTGAAAGAATTTTTTTGCACATTATGGTGGAAAATAAGTATTTGGTCAATATCAAAAGTTCATCTCAATACTTTGTTATATATTCTTTGTTGGCAATGAAAGAGGTTAAACGTTTTCTGTAAGTCTTCACAAGGTTGCCACACATTGTTGCTGGTATGTTGGCCCATTCCTCCATGCAGATTCCTCTAGAGCAGTGATGTTTTGTCGCTGTCGCTGGGCAACACGGACTTTCAACTCCCTCCAAAGGTTTTCTATGGGGTTGAGATCTGGAGACTGGCTAGCCAC